GCCCTGTTGTAGAGCCTAACTATGGGTTCTAAGATTTCATTTGTTGTAAGAGACCAAACAGGTAAACAGTACAGTAAGATGTTTAATTAAACCTGAGTGTCATGCTTCATGATCGACTCGTTATGTACAGGTGGTTTTGCAGATCCATCCATCTACACGTCCTGGCTCCCATCAGAAGAAGCTTTCAGTCTGTGGAAATCCCCGGTTCCCTTCAACAAGTACGAGAAGTCAGCTACGCTGGTTACCAACAGTCAGGCTCTGCTCAGACCTTTGGATGACATGGTGAGAAAAGCCTGGAACATGTTTGCTTCCAGGTGAGTCCGTCCCAGAAGCATTTGTCTTTAAAGTAGATCCAGAAATGTTCATTGTGTAAAATAGTCCATCTCCTGTTCCWACTTGCCCCTGKGCAGCTGTGGCTACAGTGTAGCTACCATCMGTGTGTGTGAATGAATGAATAATTAATGAAAAATTTTAAAGCATCTTTGAGTGTCTAGAAAAGTAATGCATTATTATTATTATAAAATCACATCTAATCATWTGTCTGATTATAAAACAAACATCTCTTTAGTTATCTACTGGGATTAATAGTTTTTATTTGTTTATCTTCCAGAGCTTACATGCACCAGTATATTAAGTTTGGCATGTCAGAGGAGGACTTCCTTGACAGTTTTACATCTCTGGAGCAGGTCATCTCCAGCTACAGTCAGCTGCACAGCTAGAACTGGGAGCTCCAACCAGACACCAACATGGACTTTTTTTTTTATTAAATAATATATTCAGATGGATTTTAACTTGTAAATAAAACTACTGCTTTTATGAGATTTTATTTATTTCTAGTTTGAAATTGGGCATATTTTGTATTGGATTTTGGTGTAGATTTTGTATTTTTGTAAATGAAGTTGTTTTTTTCAATTAAAATAAGTCATCAAATGGAAATAATTTTCAGTTTTGTCATTTTAAAACAGCCAAATGAGCACCCATAGTGGTTTTTAGTTTGTACCGGGATGGTTAYAGAATAAGTTATGGAGTAGAAATCTAAAATCCAGAGGGGAAAATAAATGTGTTATAACTCTTAGCAAATTTGTAATCTAATCGCTGCATAAAGTTAAAAACAGGCAATGGGTTTGATTCTAATGATTAAAATCAATAAAGTCACTCCATTCATCACAATGTAAATAAGATAAAATGGTAACTGACTAATTATTTTTTTGTAAACTAGGAGTATTGAGGCATTAAGTTTAGGCTGAATATAATCAAATGTTAGAATGTGGAGCTCATGATTATTTTTAGATTTCCTACCAGCCTTTAAAGCAGTGGTTCCCAACATGTGTCACAAAGACCCCATTTCTTAAACTCAAGCCAAGCTGAGCCCCTATATCCTTGTTACCACCCACCTCTACCAAAGACAAGTTTAACCTTTCTCTTTATCAAAACAATAAAGTGAATAATTAGACTTTTATTTTGTAAAATGAAAAAAGTAAGTTTTAATTTTTCCTCACAACCTTTGAGCACAAACCTTTTTTTTTTATCAGGGGTCAGTGTTGGGCCCCAAATTATTTAATTTGTATATAAATGACATTTAAAGTATCAGAAATACTAAAATACAATATTTTTTTGCAGATGATACCAGTATCTTCTGTACTGGAGAAAACATCCAACAGCTTTCAGAGGTGGTCACTATTGATAGTGTTGATTTAGAAGGGGTCCATGAGATCAAGTTTTTGGGTGTTATTGGATGATAAATTTAGCTGGAAACCACAGATTTGCCAAGTAAAATCAAAACTAACCCAAAGTGTTGCTGTCTTGAGGAGAATCGTCAGTTTTGGATCCAAATCATTGTTTATTTTGTATAATACACTCATTATACCACATTTGACATTGTGTGGAAGTTTGGGGTAATACATACAAAACAAATTTACAGCCGTTGTACATAATACAACAACAAAAAAAAGGTCCATTCGAAAACTGCATAAAGTGGGATATTGGGAACATACAAACCCATTATTTTTTAAAACAAATGTATTGAAATTCGGGGACCTTGTAAAATTTAGAACTGTATTTGTTTAAAATAAGAAATCATTAACTTCCACACAAAATACAAAAAAGGTTTTGTGACAGAAAGGGGGGCTATAATTTAAAAGGTAAAGGAAATAAAAAAACAACAACGTTTTAGAACAACCAAAAAGAGTTTTTGTTTATCAGCGTGTGGGGTAGATTTATGGAATGGATTAAAAGATGAGCTAAAAAAAAAAAATAAACATAAACCAGCTTAAAATGTTTGAAAAGGAGCTTACTGGGAAATATGTTATGAAGGATGTGTGTCTCAATATTATTTATATTAAAAATGTATAAATAATTGTACAAGTAAGGATGAGAATGTAAGATTTAAGTGTCATTCAATGTGGGAATAATTTGTGTTTATCTGGTGTGAGAAAATTTAGGGCAGGAAATCAAATGATCTTGTATCTTTTACCTGCTCCTTTTTGAACAAATAATGTAAAAAGGACCTATAATGTATTATTAGTTCAAGAAAGATTTGATGGTTTTATTTTTTATTTTATTTTGTTACGTGAATATTATTGATAAATTTATTTGGAGAAAAGGCACATATGATTTTTTTCTTCTTTCTGCTGCCTTTCATTTTATTTTTTATTTTTTGGATTTTATTTTATTATTATTATTTTTTAATTAAATGAAATGAATAAATATATTTTAGCTGGAAAAGATGTAGCTATGCCCACCACCCCTGTGCTGTCTGGCTTCCCCTCCTGATGGGGGCAGTGTGTCAGAACATAATACTTCACCTAATAGTTAAATTTAATCATTGATGGTTAGATAATAAAGAGAACATTTAATAAAGTCACTCATTTGGTTATTCTTAAATTCACATTAAAAAAATACTTGAGCATGAATAAATTCATTTTCACCACTTTTTATTGACTTGAGTGTYGGTTTTACACAATAAAACCAAACAGACAAGGAAGCAGAACATGAGTAAAAACAATGTTGCTGCCTCCACAAGTAAAAGTGCTGTGGACACAATAAAAAAAAAAAGGCTGAAGGCCCACAACTTCAGCCAGCTTACAGACCGCTGTTGCCTTATTAACATCACTGCCAACACCAGTCTGATAAGCTAGCTGACGAGGTGAGAAAAGGACAATGTGTGGCAGAAAGAAAAAAAATATTAAGATTTTTAAAGGGCATCTTATCCAGAATCTACATTATGTTTAAASTGATGCATTGGTCAAATTCAAGCATCTCCCCAGGGATGATGATGAGGCTGAAAAGCATCAAACTCCAAATTTCGCCACAACTCTGATGCAGTTCTTCTGAAAACTATTATTTAGTAAAATACACACATTTGGAGTTGATCACTTACCTTGTAGATGCTTCCTTCTAATGGACATTATGCATTACCTCTGTAGTTAAAAGGTATAACCACAACAGGAAACACAACGAAGCATCTTCAAAATGAACTTTTCAAAACAAAACACCAAATAAGACTCAGACTTTTTTAAAAATGTCATTATTTCCTTATTTTATATATGATCTGATCCAAGATTCGACCTAAATGTACAGAGTAGAAATGGGATTATTCTTTAAGAGTACATTGCCACTTAACTGTTATATTCTTTGTGTTTTTGTTCATGTCCACAGCAACAAATGGAATAGAAATACAACCGAGCATACTGTCAAAAAGATATTAACATATATACACAATGTGCAAACCATTTTTACCTCACTGTTTTAAGTTGATATTGCTTGTTTTTTTTTTCCTTCCACCATCTGATCATTTTAAACGGACAGTTCTTGAAATAAAATAAACAGGCCTCACAGGAACAAAAACAGACATGAGAACAACCCTGAAAAGGAACCTCATCTTTTGCAGTTATCTTGGCAGCACATTGTAAGATTAAACTCTACGTCCATCCATACGCAACGGTTACAAAATTAAATAAAGATCAAGTAAAATGAGTCAAGATTTATATCCGAGGGAATTTGGACGTTCCCATCTTTGCATAAGGCGTAGCATCATGACGGGCGCTGCCCTTGACGTGGCAGCTACCATCAAATCACTGCTGCACTTCTGAGGTCGATGAGTGGATTAATTAAACGTTAAAGTAACATGTTAAGACCAGCAGCAGCTGAACCAATCACATGACTCACACGCAGAGTGAGATAAGAGAGGAAGAACCACAAATCTTTAAGAAACGATTAAAACGACACATCCGTCCTCACACACCCACACACACGCAAACAAAAAGTTTCTTCTTTTTTGTTGTTTCTTTTTTCAACAGCCTCTTTGAGGATGGATGATGGTGAGGTTTGTCGGTAAACTGTGAGCACTGCGCACTCAGCAGCAGAAGAAGAAGAAGAAGAGGAGGAAGAAGCAGCACAGTCTCTTGGATGTGTGCACCGCCCCGAGTTTCATCACTTGGTCTTCTCCTCCGAGTGCCTCAGCTGCTGCAGCCGCTTGGCGTAGCTCTGAGCCATGGAGTTGATGATTGAGATGATGAAGTAGCAAACCATGACCAGCACCACCTTCTCAAACACCCACGACAGCCAGTTATCATCCTGGAAAACCCAGAAATAGAATAAACACACTATAAATAATCACACAGGCAAACTAAAACTTCAGGAGTAGTATTAAAAATATTCTGGATATTGTTTTAATTCAACCCGGCTTAYCAAAAAAAAAGCTTATAAGAATGGTTACACCTTATTAGTATCAACTTAAACGCTCCAACAAACAAGAAATTACAGCTCAAAAATGTTTCAGATCTTCTAGAAAACCTTGGAGTTACACGTTCTGTCCACTAGAGAGCACTTGTCAAATTAAAWAAATCACTACAAAAATGTTAAAAAGACATAAAGTAGCTGTCGTAACATAAAAGGTTTTGAGATTCATGTGAAACAAACAGTACTTACCGCTGATCTACTTCCTCCAGCGTGGTGCAGCTTGTTCTTCTGTGCTTCCAGGTACTGACTGAAGGGCTTCTGGATTGCTGGTCCTATTTTAGGTACAGACCTGAAGAAAAAGAAAAAGAGGAATAAAATTTCATCACTTACCTTTTTAAATCAAAAAGTGTGAGTCATTAACATTTTAGTCCCTTAAACAAAAAGCCCTCTCTAAACTCTAAGAAGGTCCTGATGGTTCCAGCAGCATCCGAGCTGCCGCTGCTGAAGGCCCCACTGCTGCAGCTGCCACCACCTCTAATTGGTACTGTGAGCAGGAGTAGGCAGCAGAGAGGAATGAAGCAGAAACTCTTCTGTCCTCCTTTTATAGTCTGACTTCTCTATAGGAGTCTGTGTCAGCCCCTTCAATCAGGAAGTGAGTCGCAATGATGTCATCACCTTTATCACCATTGCTGCCTTCATGGTGGAGAGGCAGCCAATCAGGATRGGTTAATTTCCCTATTAGGTAGGGTGGAAACGCTCGGGGACCAGTCATAATGAACATTTTAACATTTTGTGTCAGTAAAGAGAATGATGCTGTAGTTTTACATTTTGATCTGTATCATGTCAAACTTCTAATTACCATGAAAGGAGAATAAAAAAAAAAGAGGTCACAGATATTCAGATAGATTCACTCCAGTCACCAGTGGATATAAACATGTCTAGTTTTGACCAGACTAAGCAAAAACATGCACTAACAAACACCAAATGTAGAYGGGTAATTCCTGATGTTGAGAAAACCTACAACTGAAATGAATCATTGGTGTTATCTCTCATACTTGGTTGATGAAAACACATTAAAAACAGACTGTCAGCACTGAGACAGGATCACAGCGAGTCACCCGAGAGCCACTGAGTTTCATGGGAAAGAACCTGGACTGGGTTTTCTCAGGAAAAAAAGGTTTCCATTTTCTAAATGTGGTGAKTTCCCTCGTTCTCGACACAATGGCTGACCAATTAACAGCTAAATATCAGAGATATGACTGAACTCTGAACACATTTCTCTGTATTTTTGATAAAGAATAAGTCAGAATGAAAACGAAATCATTACTTATTCAGGTAAGATTATCAGCCTAGTTGGAGATTTGATCAGGCCGTCCTCTCAGTCAGAGCTGAACCTGATGAGTCACATCAACACGCTCTAATATGACCTCACMCTCTTGACCACGGAGGCCGCAGAGAAGGGTTTCACCTGGGGGTGGTGATGGTGAAGAAATACCTTTGTATGGAAAAAAAATGTAAAACGCGGGCATGCGCACCCCCCGCAGTGAGAACACTTATTCATACAGGACCCCCCAAAAGTCATCAAAAAAAATGCCTCTGAGGTTTTAGTGATGCATTACTGACCACAAATACCAGAGGAAAGACTCCACGAAGTAACTGAGTTATTTCACATGAAGCCTTACCCAATCAGTGACACCATCTGCTCCACTATGTGCTTGCTGAAGGTGATGATAACAAAAAGTTTCTGTGGGCAAAAAAAAAAAAAGAGATAAATTAGTGTGATATTTTATTCAGAAAACTAGTTTGAATTTGAATAATTAGTTTGGGAATGTCACAAAGTACTGTGAGAAACTGAAGCAACATCTGCTTGCGTCTGTTCACGGGCGCACTAATTACTAAACTCAAACCTGGAATGAAGCTAACTGTCGTGCTTGAAGGGGGTTTGTGTGGTTTGCAGGGGGACCAAAATGGAAAAAAGRGTAGGTTGGGAGGAACACACTATTTTTTTTCCTTGTTTTGAAACTGATCAACTTTTTTAAAAAAATGCATGACACACATCCTCCTGAATGAAATCAGACAGGATACGTCTTGTGATGTCTGACAAGATCAAGGTACAGAAATTAAAGCAATCCCCCCTGCAGCCTTTTCTTTTTCAAGTCTGGTCAATTTCCTTCTCCTCATGTCCACTGAACATCAGCCATAACCCCCCACAGCGTGGGGTGACCTTTTTGTGAGAGGTCTCAGGGTGAGATGACTGGCTCCTACCACCAAGAGATTGGATATATTAAATTAACTGAAGAGTGTCAGTGAGTCACCAGATACAGACAGACCTTCACTGTTTGGATTAAATTAGTCACCCGGGTGGCAGACTCAACACTGGCCTCCATAATTAACAACAACTCTTTTTGATCTGGTGACATTTTTATTTTTAAAACTGTTGTTAAACGCGTCTTCGACGTGCCCCTCCTTTCATCTGCAGCTCTGGAAACAAACCAAAGCTAAAACAAGAAGGGAAAAAGCCATCAGTAAAAGCGCTCAATTAGGAGTTTCACAGTGAACCATGATCTCAACCCAAGGTTTGGTCTTTCCCCACACGTTTGGTCAAAGTGTGTCAGTCAGCAGTGCGTATCTCTTCCCCCCCTCCTAATGTGTAGTTCTGAAATGCAATAATACCCTGAGGCCACAGATTTGTGATGACATCAAACAAAGAATGATTCATATCAAAAGTCAAGATGTTTGGAGCGTGTGGCCTGTAAGGTTTTGTTAAAAATGGAATGAAATAAATCTTTTTCTCTAAGTTACAGACCTGTATGTGCATTTTGATGATGGCTTTCCCGATCAAAGTTGCTCCAAAGAAGGTCCAGAAGGGAACCAGGAAATGTCCGCAGGTTATTCCAGCCAAGTCGAAGAGAGGATTGGGAATCTGGAAAAAAAAAGACAATGACAATGAGTCTACACAACTACAAATACAACTTCACTCTTTGCTTTTATCAAGACAGACTTTTTCTATCTTATCTTCTGAAGTGGTTTTTAGCAATAACWCTTCAGGATTTTAAAAAGACACTTAATTTTTCTTTGATTTTGGCTRCTTCTTCACTCATTTTCAGACTAAACCAGACCATTTTCAGAGGAATGTTTTTGTTTAAGCAGCTTAACTTTAACTTATGAATCATCCAGGAACAGGAAGTCTCCTAAACTCAGGGTCTGAACCAGTCAACTTGGCAAAGAACCAGTTTTAAATGGGATTTTTAGGCACTTTGTTACCAGCAGCCCATTACCAAGACACATTCAGAATCTATAAAAATGRCTAATTGACATAAAGTAAGGTTTGAAGGAACAACAGGGTGATTCTCTAAGAGGTATTAGCTGAAAACTTGATCAATGAAAGGATGATACATCTACTGTCTCAGGTCTTTGCTAGATATTTCTTAAATAAATAACTTTCAGACACAGTTCATCTGCTGTAGATATCTGTTTAGACCTGACTCTTCTTTTTACCTCCATTTATTTGTCTATTTTTAAGCACATGCTGCACAAAATGCTTATATTGTTAGGAACAAAGACTGACCAGAAAATGACAGTAAGAGCAGACTAAGTCTAAACAAACCTTATAGATCTTTAGAGAGCCTGAAACACTATTGATCATAACAGTAAATGTAAAGAAATCAGAGCTGTTTGCCAAGTACTGTATGCAAAATAAAAACATCGAGGAAGTTTTACCCACCGAGGCACAAGCCAAGATCCCAAAGAAGCCCACTTTCTGCACCATGTGCTGGACTCCCAGTTTTGCTCTTGTGACAAAGTCCTGCAAACAATTAATTAAAAAAGCATTTCTTTTTACTGCCGTTAGACTTGATTGGAAATATTAGTCATACATTTTAATTTTAAATGATTTGTTTACATATAATCACATATTTTTACTTAAAAACTTGTACAGCACTTTAAGTACATTTATTTTTAACAGTAGTCCTGTCTGTAATGTTATAAGAAGAAATAAGCTCCCTGGTAAGAACACTGTGGTGAAGAACCTGCTATTCTTGAGCACTGCAGTTTTTTTATATTTAGTCAATCTCATGGCATTTTGCTAAAATTTGTGTGGTATGAAAAAAAAAAGGCCACAGCTCTTCTGATTGCGTCTCTATTCCCGCGGGGGTAAAAGGTTTGTGGTTTCTTGGAAAAGATCACAGCTGATGCAGGAAGGGGATTRGGACTCAGAGGCTGTTTTAAAACCTGGCACCTTGTAAATGATAACAAAAAACAAAGTTTCTGTTCAAGGGAAGCACAGTGATGAAGTGTTTAGCACCACCTCGCAGCAGTAAAGTTGCAGGTTTGAATCTCAKCTGAGGCTTTTCATTGAAGAGATTGCAAGTTTTCCTTGAGTATGTTTAGATTTACTCATCATAATTTGCAAATATATTATATTTTAGTGGCACGTAATGCTTTTCATCTCAACCGTTTCCTTAYTGAAGAAATGTTTTTACTCTTCTGAAGGAGAGCATAAAAATAAGTGACATTTATTTTGTAATGCTATCTCGTGCGCCACTTACTCCCACAAATTGTTCGTAAGATTCTTCCAAGTTGTTGTTACTTTAAATAAAGTCCTTAGGGCAAAAAAGCAAGTGTAGACATCCTGAAAATAACTCTGAGATGAAACATCAGAGCTGAGATTGGCAGCTTCAGCTTATTCAGAAAATACCTAAMGAGGGAGGGCAGGTGATGAAGACAATGCCAACAATGCCTTTAATATGTGTTCTGCTGACTCAGCATGCGATCTGAGCAGTCTCCCGTTATGTGAACTCTGTTCCTGACAGCGCTGTCTGTCATTCAAATTAGAGGCCGGTGAGAAGAGAGATGGAGGGCGGATGGAGAGAGGCAAAGAGAGCGAAGCCTGAGGGATGATTAAAGAGGGAGCTGTGCTCAGGGTGACTCACCCACGAACAGACACACTTACTGGAAGCGCACAGAGGGAGGGGCTTCACTGAAGTCACATGTTGTGCTCGGACCAATCAACCACCTGGGGCTCCATGTTCAGACAGGCATTATGAAAATTAGATCAAATTAAAAAGGATCGTATCACTTTGGGTGGATAAGTAACATGAAAACGGTTATGAAACCACAAGGATGGAATTCAACCATCTGTGCTGTTTCAGTGTGGGCTGCACAAAGAAAGCAGAAACGTGTGAACATGATGGTTTTTTTAGGTCATTGATTCTTGTGGGGGTCTAAAATGAGCTAAAATGGGCAAAATCTTTAAATACAAATGTTGGATCATTTTGAGTTAAAGCAAATTGCATAAAGTGACTGAATGACATCTTTAGTGATTAATTTACTAAAAGACTTTCTTAATAATTAAACACAGAGAAGTAGAGATACTGTATTACACTCACTGACAAAAACAATTGGCCTGAYTTAGACATAATTTAACCTCCATGCAGGCAAGGGATGGGTAGATAGAGGTAAACAGGCTCCAGAAGTGGCATCATGAGTGGAGCCATACTGTTATCAGACAGTTGCTGGAATGTCTTACAGTCGGTCAAAACAATGAGTCATGGTCACCAGATATAAATAATGCCACATGGACACATGTTACATTGTGAGTTTGAATGAAGCTGAATAGTCATATTGTACAACTGTCTGGTATGTGTGATTGTACAGATGTCACATGGAMCAGAACACATTATGAAGGTTCTGGAGACACCAGGAAGGACYGTTACATTGTCCACCAAGCATTAGAGAACCCCATTAGATCCTTCATCTGRACACAAGTATTTGTCTCATGCCATCGTGTCTCCATAACTGGCATCAGTTAATCTAGAGCATATGTCAAACCCAAGGCCTGTGGGCCAAATCTGGTCCTGCTTWATATTCTATCTGGTCCCAAAAATGGTTGTCTGGTTCTGAAGAATTACAAAATGCGTCCTATTTTTGTCCTTATTAAGAGTAACCCCTGGCTGAAGACCGTGGAATGGGGCAGGGTYGGATAACAGGCGGGGTCTGACTCCGCCCTTAGCTCTAAAATTAACCAATCCCAGATGCTAAATTCTAAAATTAACCCCTCCCAATTTTTTAAGACTCATATTAACCTTCCCTMCAAGCTGTGACCACGCCCATTGGACGTCCGACCTCGTCCATCCTAATCTACAATCTGCAGTTGGGGTACCTGCTTATTAAAACCATTGGATATTTTTAAGTGAGGGTTATTCCTAGTTTTATAAATATTTTAAATGTAAAATAGYTTCATCATTTCTCTTTTTGTCACTGTATTTAATGTAGACTTTTTATGACAGCAGTTCACTTGAGTTATCTGTTTCTCTACACTCTTCTTATTTTAAAATATTTACCATTTTAGTTAGTTTTTTTAACTGATTTTCATGATTACAATAAARCGTGTCTCTAACAAATAAAGAAAAAACGTTAACAGTGTATAAGGCATAAGCTATGAATGTTAATGCTCATTTTCTTGTCATTAGAGTATTTAAAAATTGACCAAACCTCTGCTAATGAGTGTAAAACTCTGACCTGCGCGCCCTCGGCCTGCTCAAGCATCTCCTCGAATTCCTCGTATTCCTCGTCGTCTGGATCAGCTCCTGACTGACGAGCAGCTCTCGCCATGAAATACGGAGGCAGCTCTCCGATGGCAGTGCCCGCACCCTAAACATACACGGCTTCAGTCATTATAGGTTCATTTTTGTTTATTTGCCACACAAAGATAATAACAGGAGGTGTAACAGTATTTTCTGTCAGGCAGCAACATCCAAACATTCTCTTMTTTCAGCTGWATCTTTACTCAAAGTACTACTCACCCACATGCAGGCCTCCAGGCGGACCTTTGACATGATGGAGAAGATCGAGATGCTGCCCTCCAACCCTCCATCATCAGGACAGACAATCTGGTCTGGGTAAGGGGGCTCTGGGAAGTCGGTGGACCCACACTCATAAGCTGCCAGTGTCACTGAAGCTATGTGAGGACCCTGAAGGAGAGTTTAGATGGTGGAGCAATATTAATAGTTTTAAATATTGTCTTTTTTCCTAGGCACTCGTTAAAGCTGTCTAACCCATGGTCCTACCATGAATCTATTTTAAATCTTCAGTTTTTATTTCAAAATGTTTAAATAAAAGGAAGTGAATTCGACTTTATAATCACTTTGAGGGGGGCTGCAGTTTGTGGTTTTCTTGATTTTGATTGAGATGAGGTTTCTAATTTGCAACATGCCATCATTAAATGTAATTACATATAATCTGGCTGCGAATGGTTGAACTCAGACAATATGTACACTGTTGCAGGTCCACACACTGACTGTAGCTGAGTCACAAACACACACACTCTCTGACAGGTAAGCCATTTATTACTGGAAAGACGTGTGGTTACGCAGAGCCACCTGGCCCACCTGTAACTAAAACACAGCTAATCCCTTGTGGGGGGTTTAAAAGTCCTATCAGCAGCACAGGCAGTGAACAGATGGAGCACAACAAGACTGTGTTCACTGCAACTCCTCTGTCAAAAAAACTCTGCTTCACTTTAAATACGAGAACAGAAGACGCTTCTTCAGTCGTCACAAAACGTTTTTTTTTTTTTTT